AATAGGATTAACACAATGAGATCATTGTGTTAATGTTCTCATTTAAAATAATATCACTATTCACAATACTAAATTGAAAATAAAATATTCATTTCATACTTAAAATTTATTAACTTGTTTATAGATTCTCATTTTGATAATGTTCTCATCATTTAAAATAATGTAATTTAAAATATTCATATCATACTTAAAAATTATTAACTTGAATATGATATTATTTTAAATGGTGAGAAATTTAAGGATAAGAATAAATAATAAGCCTATAAAGGACTGGAATATAATTATACCTTAATCATTGCATATGAAATATTAAAATAAAATCTAGTAATTAGCTGATCTTATTTACCTTTTTTTGGCAAGTCCATAAATTTTTTTAGAGAATTTTAATATGTAATTTTTTTTCCCGGTCATGGGTTACTTTATTTGAATATTTTTTTTCCTCCACTTTAATAAAAACACATTTATGATTTGAATATCCCATTGTAATTGAATTATTTTCAATTTTCTTTTTTTTGATAAATACCTAGCTATATTTGATTTTAGAATGCTTAGAATATATATACCAATATAAATAATCTTACCTGTAAGTAATGATAACTTTCTGACCGAGTTGTTATATAAAATTTATTTTCATAATCTTCTGTACAGAAGATTTTTCTATCCTTATATATTGTAATTCCGCATCACTAGTAAATGATAAAATGAGGCGTGTCCCAACTATACTATGGCCAACTTGACCGAGCCCACTAACTTTATAAATCTCATCCAAAATTAAATTAATTCATGTTTGATTCTTAAAGTTTGTCAGATTGAAAAATAGGGTTTGGACTTTCCTAAAATCTATTTGTTAAGATTATTAAAACTCCATTTATAAATATAAACGATAAGATTTGCAAATATTTTTTATTACAAACACATTTAAAAATTAAAATAGGAAATATTTTTCAAATATTTTTTAGACAATCATGTATGACTTACTTATCTATGTTAGGCTCAAATTTCCAGTCTTATAAAATAATAGCTCAAATTATAATTATAGTGACCTAACGTTCCTCTGTTCTCAATGTACCCCGGTCTCCCCATTTTTTAAAAATGCAATATATATTATGACATCTTATTTTAATTAAAGTTTTTGACTTAATTTGAACAAAAAATTATACTTTACTATATAGGGTATGATTAATAAAGTGAATTAGATTTATTTAACTTTAGCTATGGTCAACTAAATTTCATGTCCTCTCGGAGGCTAACTATTATTACGCTGTATATTTTTAATGCAATAAAATTTTGGATAAACGGATAATAACAGTATACTAGAAAATATTTCACAAAATCGATTTGGTGTTTAATCTAAAACTAATATATTTATTTCATTATAATAAGCTTGCCCCAATATCCTTATCATTTTGAGTAATCATTTTTTCCAGAATCACAATTTTCACTTTCTTTGCAAGATTACTTTTTTCAACTATAGTATTATTGTGATCAACTTAGAGTTACATCCTAGCTATTAATATTGCCAATTAATTAAGTTGCCTACCTTTGCAGCGTTTATTCTGCTCTTAAAAACAAAGTTTTTAAAACAAATTAAAAATGCCCCAACTATGGGCTGATGTTAACAAAAGATAAAGGCTTTGTACTACGCTAAAAAGTTTATTGTATCTATGTTACTTTCTGCAGCATCATTCAAAGCTAAATTTAAAGAATGGTTTCAACAATAAGGAACTCATGATATTTATTTCGTTGAATACCATTGTTTTTCTAACCTTGATATCTGCAATAGTCCTGGGATATTTTTCTCATGAATTTACGAATTACCCGAACCTTTAGAGTTATCAATTGAAATGAATTTCACGAATTCTCTAACCTTAACATCGACAACCTTCCTGTCCCCCGCCTTCACAAACCTCAACATTAATGATAATTTTCCCAGAATATCAGGAATATAATTCAAAATAAATATTAAATAACGTTTTCATGGTTCAATATTTTGTTTTTTTTTAAATAGCGTGGAAGTTCTGCTTAAAAAATTAATTTATTGCTAAACAATTATACATATGGAAAAAATTTATACATTTATTGTTTTCTAATAATTAATGGGAGTCATGGCTAAGCAAGGATTTGTATATTCCATTACATGAGAAAAATATCCTTCACAATTTTCAACCAATACCTAATAGATTTAAAAGGGGAAAAAAATATTATGCAATAATTTCATCAAAATGTTAAATTAAAATATGTTGTTTTCAAGTTCCAACTAATTATGCACATGCGATTTAAATCTTTTAATTACAGTAATAATATAATTTGTTGTAACGCATATAATGTAAAAAAACATTCTTATATAGTTAAATAACTTTCCATAACTGTTGTAAAAAACATTTTGATATAATTTTTTTTAAAAATCTTTTAATAATGAAAGTTTTTAAACTTTAGTGAAGACTAACGTCAAAGTTATGAATCGAATATAGTTTTTTTAATGTTTTGGACACAAGTTAAGTGGGAAAATGAGAATTTTAAAAAATTCTATAAAAAAAATTTTCTAAGCTGCATTCGAAGTGGAGACGGATCCGTTTTTACATCCCTTCCGTCAAAGTGGAGACGGATCCGTTTTTTACATCTCTTCCGTCAAAAGTCAATCTCATTAAAAATGATATATATATATTGATCTTCATTTTTAAAAAATTATAAGTAACGTTATAACTATAAAATTTGCCGGATTAAAAAGTCAAAATGTTTTGACTTCAAAATTTGCCGGACGTTAAGACGGAAGGTATCGGAACGGAAGCATTTTGAACATATATATCATTTTTAATGAGATTGGTTTTTGATGGAACGAATGTAAAAAACGGATCCGTTTCCACTTTCAATGCAGCCTAAATTTTATCAATAACTTTTTTTAAAAAAATACATTATAAATTTTTTTAAATTTATAATATTATTTCCAATATTTTAATTTTACTTTTAATTTATCTAAAGATTGGAAATTAGGATATGAAGTCAGAATAATTTCTTAATAAACATGAAGGAAAATTCGAATTAAATTTTTTTATATCATTTCGAGACACCAAAATAAAAAACCCCATTTATTATTTATTTATTATATGTAAATAAAATATACAATACAAATCAATTATAAATTCAATCATTTAAAGGAATGCATCGAATTCCATCTTCAATATGTTTTTTGGTGTGAGAATAAAAATTTGAAAAATTGTATATGTAAAATAACTGCTCAAAATACTCGTAACAACAGCAATAACTTCTATTCAGTAATTGGTTTAGGAGAATTCAATCGGTATTAATTTATAATAACTTCAAAAAAATTTTCGACTGGATTTAATTGTGGCGTATAGGTTGGTAAAAATATGATATTTGGATAATTTTCACTAATTATCCTCGCTCGATGAATAGGATCATTATCCATTATAAGCAATGAATTAGATGGTTAAATTGTATAAAATTCATCTAGATATATTTTGAATTTTATGGCAGTGAAAGCCCCATTTATAATTGTGATTTTTTTCAATCTACTTATTCCTATTGTGCCTAGGACTGATATATTTTTTCCTTTGGAGGGAGGTAACTTAACAAATAGCCTTTTTTCCAAGGGTGCCCATCCATTATACGAAATAATTTGGATACTAAACCCTGCCTCTTCCAGGAAAAATACATTTTCAAAAGAAATATTTTTCATCTTGTCACAATACTTTACATCTGGAGCGTTTCCTCTATCGGGTTCTTTTCCAACCCTTTTCCGGTCCAACCCATTAATTTAATACATTTATATATACTCTCAAACTTAGTGTGGCGTTAAATGTTCTATAATTTAATTGTATAGCCATTATTATTACTAAACAATTCAGCTATATGCGATTGAAGTTCTGTAGTGTCTCTCTTCTTCCGACCTTGTTTTTTTATTATATAATCAGATAAAGGGTCGTCATAATATTCAGGGAAAGTTTCCCGCTTTAAACGATAAACTGAATTAATGGGTAAATTTAGATAAGGGTAATTGTCTTTGCATTGGGCTGATCATCAATTGGTTTGCTCGGCAATATTTTAGCATTCCATTTTTTCATCGCTCCAATTACCATTTTTTCCCTCAATAGAATAGAATCAACATTTGGTTGCTCTTGAATATTCGAATATTGGCATCGATTTGTAATGTCAGTTAGACATCTAAGGGAATTTGATGGGATAGGTGAATAACTAATTTAAGTTAAATTACCAGAAGTTTTTAAAAATAATAATGTTTTTCTCAAAATTTTCTTTCAAGTTTTTAAAAGTTTTTTAAAAGAATATGTTTTTCTCAACAAGTTTTTACAATAATTAAGGAAAGTTATTTAACTATATAGTGTTTTTAAAATGCCACTGATGGTTATTTTAGAAAAAAAAATAGTTAATAATTTTTAATCACCTTCATTAAAAAAATTTGATTCTATATTATTTTCAAATCTTACAAGGCAAAATTATCCTCATACATAAAAAATAAGAATGTTTGAATATTCTTTTATATAAAAAAATCACTATATTCTTTTTATTCGATAAGTTTATAAATATTCTTTTTTTATGAAATGATGATTATTTTAAGCTAATAAATTTATTTAAAAAATTTTAAAATAATTTTATATTAATTCCATTGACTTTTTAAATTTAATGTAAAATTTTTAAAAAAAAATAAATGTTCGTTTTGTGAATGAGGGGATATTGACATTTTTTTATATGAATGATAACAAAATATAAAGAGTTTCTGTTCTAAAGCAACGGCAAACCCTGTAAATATTTTACACATGTTAATTTAAATAACAATTATGAACCAATTTAGAGTTTTTTTTATTTTAAATATTGTTTTTATTTTTTTAATTAATTTAAAATCAGAATTTTCTCAATATGGAGGCCATACCATTTAAAATATTATAATAAATGCAACGCAAAAAAAACGCTCAAAAGAATAGGGCATTCAATTTTACTTCATTTTAAATATTTTTACCCTTTAGATATCATTTGAAAAGCTTAATATCGACGCTAAGATTTCCAAAGCAATATCTCCAGATCTCTCCTTAGATAGAATTCGCAATATTATGTCTCAAATGGAAAATAAAGAGTTTTCAATGAATCTCTCAACTGATTGCAATGAATCTTTTCATATTGGTAATTAGTTTTATATAAATATCCTTTTATTTTAATAATCTGACGATCTATAAATGTATTGCATGTTCGGGTGGGACCAATACCAATATATTATTGGTTTATAATACCAATATATTTAAATATTGGTATTGTTTTTACAACCAATACCAATTACCTAAATATATTGGTTTTGATATATTGTTTAAATACAATAATAACCAATACTAATACCAATATTAAAAATAGATAAATACATATATTTATTTTGTTTTATCGTGGATAATTATATCGTGATATTTTTTTACTTTCTCATAAACTTATTTTATTTCTTCCAAATACTACTGTGATATCAATATTGGTTTTATTTATAATTATGGTATTTTTATTATGGAAGTAAATTTTCTACATGATTGAATGAAGAACAAATAGAGTTATTAATAGATAATGCTCTTGATACTAATAATAATAGCGATAATGAACAAGGAGAATTATCAATATCTAATAAATGACGAAATACAGCAAAAATCTGGGAATTTTATACTAGTTGTGATAATAAAAAAAGACTATTTGTAATAAATGTAAAAAAATATCTCTTACCAATTTTGGAACTTTAGGATTATGGACACATCTTAAATCCATCCACCCATCATTATATGAACAAATAAATATTGGCAGTAAAAAAATTTACACAATAAAATTTTTTAATATTATAAATAATAAAACTAATTTAATTCATTTAATTTTAGACTTTCTATTCAAAATAAATTAGCTTTTTCAAAGGTTGAGGATGTCACTTTTAAAAATTTAATATATATGGGCATAACAATTCATTATATTGATAATGATTTTAAATTAAATAATTATTTATTAGATTTTATTCCTTTTAAATCAGCACATAATTCTATTAATATTTATAATATTTTTAATTCTATATTAAAAGTAAAATTTGAAATTTTTTTTTTTTGTATTACATTAGACAATACAAGTAATAATTTAGCATTTCTAAAAATTTTAAAACAAAAAGATAATTTTGGTGCAAATGATTTTGCCATATCATACATTTAGCTGTCATGGCTGCATTGGAACCCTTAAATACAACTTAAAAAAATAAGAAAATTTTTAAACTTTCTATATCTAAATTTAATAAACTCGAAAAATATTTCTTGAAAAAAATCTAAACTTAAAATTTCTTTACCTAATTTTGGATATACCAACACGTTGGAATTCAACATACCAAATGCTTGAAAGGGCAATATTGCTTAAATCCTATTTGACAACATATACCATCATTACAAAATAGAAGAAAATTATATTAGTGCCTTAGCTTGGAATAATATAGAAATATACCGAGAATTTCTGTAACCATTTAATATTGATACAGAGATGGCCTCATGTGCTAATACTCCATCAATTTCAACAATCATTCCTTTATATTCCAGTATTTTTGAGCATGTGGAAAATAATAATAATCCTAATGCTATTTTAAAGACAGCTTCTTTATCTGCCTTAACAAAACTTAATAAATACTATAATTTTAATTAACACCTATTTATTATTTCAACAATGATTGACCCAAGGTTTAAACTATCAAGTCACTTATTAAAGCATAATAGTATAGAAACTCTTATTGGATGCGTAATCAATGAATATAATATTTATAAAATAAATAATTACAATTCAGCCGAACATACAAATGAAACACAAAATAACAAAAAATTGTCCTTTTATGACAAAATATATCAGGTTAAACCTAGTCATAACATTAATAACTTAGAAATAAGCAAATATGGGGATGAAGCAACAATTTCTAATGATACAAATCCATTAGACTGGTGGAAATTAAATTAAAATAGATATCCAATATTATCGAAAATTGCTAGAGATTATTTTGCAATTCCAGTTTCCTCTCTGAAAGGGCTTTTTCAGAAGGATAGTATGTTATAACAGACCAATGTTGTTCAGTAGATGAGCATTATAACCAAGCTTGCCCGTGCCTAAAAAGTTGGATTCGCATGGGATTCTTCTTAAATACATAAAAAAAATTTCTCTTATATATATCAATCTTTTGTACTATATTTTATATAAATAGAGTTATGTTACATTGTACTTATTTTGCTATGTTTTTGTGCTAAATAAAACGTTTCAAAATCAATACGTTTATTATTTGATTGGTTTGGTTAGACAATTTAAGAAATGTTCACGAAATATGCTATTGAAAGCATTTTTAAAATCTACTTTGATAATAGCCAAGGAGGATTTTGTATAAATGGTATGTGAAACTATTTTGCCTTCTCCCTTAGCACCAAATCCTAATTAATACGTTTGCTTGATAAGTTAAGACACTGGGTTTTTGATCGTAATTATTTTTGCTAATAATCTTTTAAATAGATTGCAATGGGGTGGATACCACCACAGTGTTTGTGGGATAATCAGGTTTGCCCCCATAATTGATTCGAATTTATGATGGCAGTTATTTTTTTAAAAGTGTATTTAGGAAGGTTTAAAAAGCATTTAAATGATTCTTTGAGATAAATGCAGATTTAATACGAAGATAGGGGGCAAAAACCATTGCGTCTGAATGTGAAAAATTTGTTAAAAGAATTGATAAATATCATAAATCACAAATCATATTTTTTTATTCCATATTTTCCATAATATATTTGGCCTTTTCTCTAAAAATTTATAGAAATCTTGGAAGAATGAATATGGATAATCTATTTCTCTCATTTGACTATTCTGATTCATCCATCGTCAAATAAAGGTAAATTTTATTATTGGCCTAATGGGTAAGATGTACGCTTGGAAACACGAGTATGAACAAGGACGCAGGTTCAATCCTGGTAAGAACCATAAAAACTTTCAAGTTTTTCTTCGATGACTGATGTGTAAAGACATATGGTATGATAAATTTCGGAGCTTAGAAATGACACCCCGGTCACCGACAGGCCTGGACAGCCGGGTGCTAAGGATACCTGTCCAATAAACAAAATGAAGAAAACAAATGGAAATATGAATATGAAAGATAGGGCGTTCCCTCCAAGCGACGCGCAGGGTGTAGACCTCCATCCTGTGAAAAGTAAAGTAAAGGTCAAAGCAAAGAAAACAAGATTAGCAAGTTTGAATATTGGGACGCTTAAAGGTAAGATGAGAGAATTGGCATCAATGTTGAACAAGAGAAAAGTTGATATAGGGTGCATACAAGAGACGAAATGGAAAGGACTTTGATGATTGGAGATGGGTATAAATTGTACTATAATGGACTTGTAAGCAATAGGAACGGTGTCGGCATCATCCTCAGTCAAGATCTAACCTCCTCAGTTGTAGAAGTCAACAGGATCTCTGATAGACTAATGAAGATAAAACTCTGCATTGGTCAATCAATACTACACATCCTTTCATTATAACTCCTCAAACGGGTTGCAAGGAAGAAGAGAAAGATGATTTTAGAGCTATCCTCGATGAAGCTGTAATGGAAATCCCTAAGGATGACCTAGTCATAATTGGTGGTGACTTAAATGCGCATGTGGGGAAAGCAAGAGATAGCTACAAAAGGCATCATGGTGGTTTTGGATATGGAGAAAGAAATGATGAAGGAGAGCATATACTGAAATTTGCGCAAGCCTTCGACCTTGCCTTAACCAACACCTACTATAGGAAAAAGGATAGTCATTTAATAACATACGAAAGTGGTACAAGGAAAACTCAGATAGATTACATACTAATATCTCGCAGAAGATTAAAAGATGTAATAGACTGCAAAGTCATCCCAGGAGAAGATATCGCCGTACAACACAAGCTACTAGTCATGGATTTACACATCTCAAATATATCCACTCAAAACAAGATAAAACTGGAACCATGCATCAAATGGGGCAAATTAAAAACAATGACAGATTCCTTTGCAATCAATGCAAACATTGAAACAATAGATTCCTCACAAGTCAGTGAAAAAATGTGGACAGACCTTTCATCCAAATTAATAGACACTGCCAAATCACACTAGGCTTGACAAGAGGAGGCAACAAATCATACAAAAAACTATGGTGGTGGAATGAAGAGGTACAAACCACTATACAGGAGAAAAAAACCCTTTATAAAATATGGTACAAATCCAAAAACGCAGATGACAAGACAAGATACAAAAAATCCAAGAGATTAGCTACAAGGGCGGTGGCTAGAGCCAAATCTCTGGCATACGAAGATCTACATACCAAAGAAGGGCAAAATAAAATATACAGATTAGCCAAACAGCGAGAAAAGAACTCTAGGGATATAAACGGAGCTCCGAAAGTAATCAAAAATAAAGATGGGAAATTGATAATAAAGGAAAAAGAAATAATGAGTAGATGGAGAGAATATTTTCAGGAGCTTCTCAACTTTAATCCGCACATACTGCATCTAGACGAACACTCCCCTTGTCAAAACCTTGTACAACCTATAACACAACAAGAAATAATCACATGCCTCAAGCATATGAAAAACAAAGCTAGGGGTCCAGACGATATTCCAATAGAAAGCCTTAAAGCACTAGGAGATGATGGAATACATTTCCTCATAAATCTATACAATAAGATACTTAAATGAAGAGGTTCCCCAAAAATGGAGGCAGAGCTATCTAGTTCCTATCTTCAAAAATAAAGGGGATCCACATAATTGTCAAAATTACAGGGGCATAAAACTAAAGTCACACTGTCTAAAACTATACGAAAAAATAATAGAAAAAAGATTAAGAGATATAATCGAAATAGGAGAGACTTAGTTTGGCTTTATGCCTGGAAGATCAACAACCGATGCTATCCACGCAATTAGGCAAATGAGTGAAAAATACAGGGAAAAGAACAAAAAGCTACACATGGTCTTTCTCGATCTAGAAAAGGCCTTCGATAGAATCCCAAGAAAACTTATCTGGTGGGCGCTACGCAATAAAAAGGTTCCCGAAAAATATATAAGAATAATACAGGATATGTATATGGGCCATACAACAATGGTCCGTAGCACAACAGGTATTTCAGCAGGCTTCA